GGAAAGTAGAATGATGAAAATTGAAAGAAAAAGAAAATTGAAAAACGTATAGAAACAGTTGGTCCCGTGAACTCATACATATCAACCTCCAGGACCCTTAGAACAGAAGAATGAGATGGTGCTTCACTATCACCATCCACAGCTCTGAAAGGATCACATTGGAAGGTCTTAGACAGAGTGGGAGAAAAATGTGGAACAAAACTCAAAATTATAAAATTACTGGTCAGATAGGCAAGGACTCGAGACAATGGCCCTTAGTCATTTTTCAGGTCTGAAACTGAGCTCAGCCCTGTAGTAAAATAAGCAATTATTAAGGGTAGCATTTCCCCAACAACAAAATGTTCAGAGGGTTAGGAAGGAGGAAAATGGAAACAAAACACCAGGAGAAAGCAGGTTAAGTGAAGGCATATCAAGGGGGTTTTCAGTGGATGAGTTGAAACAAAATGTATGAATTACTGAATGTAAAATTGATGGTCTGCTCTGTAACTCAAAAGGTTATAAGTCTATAAGTTTCTTGAGTCTAGATATAAGTCTTTTGACAGGCAACTTGTAAATATTTTCCCGTAGGTTATAGCTTGTCTTCATTCTTTTTTAATGTAGTGTTTTTCATAGAAAAAATTTATTATGATAAGTCTAGTTCAGTTTTTTTTCTGTTACTGATTGTGCTTTTAGTTTCTTGACCCATTTTGAGTTCATTTTCAATAGATGTGAAATCTCAGTTGAGGTTTGTATTTTTTCACAACAGTATGCAGAAGTTATCCTTTCTCTATTGACTTGCTTTTGTAACATTGTCAAAAATCAGTTGGATAAAAAAAAATCAGTTGGATATGTTTATAAGGGTATAATTTTTGGCTATCCATTACATTGATCTCCAGATCGATTATGCTAGTATCACTTTGACTAGATTGTTACAGCTTTTTGTTTTGTGGGTTTTTTTAAGTCATTTTACTGGGGGCTCATACAGCTCTTATCACAATCCATTCATCCACTGTGTCAAGCACATTTATACATTTGTTGCCATCATCATTTTCAAAATATTTCTTCTACTTGAGCCCTTGGTATCAGCTTCTCGTGTTTTTCCTCCTTTACAGCTTTTTGTTGTTAGGTGACAGACATCAAGTCAGTTCCGACCTGTAGCCACTCTGAGCAGCAGGGGAAACACTGTCCAGTCCTGCATCATCCTCAGAATCGTTCTGTTTGAGCCCATTGCTCCAGCCACCGCATCGATCTCTCTTATCAAAGGCCTTCCTCTTTTGTACGTTACCAAGCATGATGTCCTTCTCTCAGTCTCTCCTGACAGCATCCAAAGTCCATGAGAAAAAGTCTTGCCAACCTTGCCTCTAAGGAGCATTCTGGTTGTACTTCTTAGTACAGCTTTAAATATATATATGGGAGGGGGGCCTCTTACAGCTCTTATAACTATCCATATATCAGTTGTATCAAGCATATTTGGACATATGTTGCCATCAGCTTTAATTCTTAGCTTTAATTCAATCAATGTGATTCATTGAACTTCATTCTTTTTCAATGTTTTGTCTGTTAGTTTTTTTTTCTTTCTGTATAAATTTTGGAATCTGTTATAAAATAAAATAGTAACAAAATAACTGCGAGAATATTAATTGGGATCATTTAGAAGACATTTGGCATCTTTATTTATATTCAGTCATCCTTAGAAGCATAGATAGTCACACTTGATCTCACATACTTTGAACCTGTGATCAAGAGGGATTGATCCTTGGGAAAGACAATCATACTTGGTGAAGAGTCTGTGAAAAAGAAGAACGCCTTCACAGGGTGGATTGACATAGTAGTTGTAACAACGGACTCTGAATTGATTTGTATCTTGTCATTTATTAGCTATTTGAGGTATTTTTAAATTCCATGGGTTTTTCTACATAGGCAATCATGTCTACAAGTAAGGGAAATAGGATGTTGTTGTTTTTTTTCCAGGCTTTAAGCTTTTTATTTTTTGTCTTTCTGCACTACGTAGAACTTTGGGGAGAGCTTCTAGTATTTCATCAGTAAATTCTTTATTAATTGAAGATTTTTTGTAAATTCTCCTTATTGGCTTATGAAAGTTCATCTTAATTCCCAGTCTGCTGAGATTCGTCATGAATGAATGTTGACTTTAGGCTAATGTGAACAAAATTAGCATATGATATCAGTGTCAGAGTACCAAAATTAGTCAACCAATATTTTTATCCAGAACAAGTGAGGTAAATAATAAAGACATACTCAACTGTAATAATACCAAAACTATATAATCTTAAAGGAATGAGGGAATATTGAGCAGTGGAAATTGTACTAAGCAGAACACTCTCTGAATAGCAAAGGTACTAATTAAAGTTTAGGAGCAATTAAAGGGACTCACTCAACTCACAAGCTATCCAGCAGATTCCAACACACAGTGAACTTATAGGACAGAGTAGAATTGACCCTGTGGGTTTTCAAGACTCTTTAAAGACTTTCCAGGGAAAAGAGGAAGCTGACCTATTCTTTATGAGTCTTAAGAGCTTGAAATAGAGTGCCTGAAGCACCAGCCGAAGCATCAGTATGGTATTTGTTTTTAACTACCAAAAAAAGATAGAATAAACTTGTACTTCTCTACCCTGCTAAGAGGATAAGTGAAATCTCCAAAAACTTATCTGTGCCAAAGGTTCAGAATATTTTGTTGAGCAGTGATTCCCTTGACTATGATGAAGTCTATTATAAATACATGTAGATGTTATACGTATACATTTTTAAAGTTTCCTGGATTCCTTCGAAAATCCACGAAAATCTGCTTAAAATTCATAGTCTCTTAGTCTTTGGCCTATATGTATATATTTATAAAAATGGAATCATAGTTAATATAGTTTTATATTTTTCATTAAATATGTAATACTAATAGCTACTTATGCCAGTTTAATTATACACTCATGCCATACTCAGAACTGAAGATGCTCCAATATTAATGAAATATTCATCGATATAATTTCTTACTTAGTGGTTGTTTTTTCAAGCATTTTTAATTTTAAAAATTAATGACTTACCAAAGATATTTTCTCCAACTTTAATTAAGAGAGCAGTCTGTTTTGTTTTGTTTTCTTTTAAAATCATTTTATTGGAGGCTCGTACAACTGTTTTCACAATACATACATACATACATACATTGTGTCAATCACAGTTGTACATTTGTTGCCATCAGCATTCTCAAAACATTTTCTTTCTACTTGAGCCCTTTGCTTTTATTTTAGTAGTGACCATAAAAAGAAAAAATTCTTTAGCTTAGATTAAAATCATTGCTCTCTAGTAGATTCCAACTCCGTGAATTCATAGAGCAGAATAGAATTGGTGAATAGGGTTTCTGAGGCTGTAAATTTTTTTTTGGTGGGGGGGGCTTTGCGAGCATTATGCTCTTTTTAAAAAAAAATCATTTTATTAGGGGCTCATACAACTCTTATCACAATCCATACACACATCAATTGTGTAAAGCGCATTTGCACATTCGTTGCCGAGGCTGTAAATTCTTATGGAAGCAGTCTGCCTCATATTTTTCCAATAGAACAACTGGTGAGTTTTAAACTGCTGACCTCTCTATTAAACAGCCCAATGCTTAACCTGCTGGACCACCAGTGCACCTTTTGCATTAGCTTAGGAATTGTGATTTAAGAGTTAGAATACAACTGAGCATTTACAAAGTACTAGGAACTATGCTAAGCATTTATTTCGTTTTAAAATTTTACTATTTACGACACAATATAACAGTGGGAAGTTCTTTTTTTTAATGGATCCTTCTAAGTTTTTTATTTCCTTCTAAGTTTTAAATTTATTTACTCTAAAAATACATGTATCAAAACATTTTACATGTCAGCAGTCTTCACACGTACAGGTTGGTGACATTAATTGTGCTTCTTATGTTTGTTTAACTATCACCCTTATCCATTACATGACACATTCTTATTCCCACCCTTCAGACAAGGAAACAGAGTCATAGGGTATAAGTGACCTGACTTAGGTACCACTGCTGATTAGAGTCCAAAGCTGGTATTCTTTCTCATATGCCAGAGTGACTCATTGATGCTAAGTAAGCCAGTTAATAATCACTTGCCAGTCATTTATCGAAAACTTATCCAACACAGCTCAAAATACCATCAATGAAATAATTCAAGAAATATTTATAGAGCTTACTATATGCTGAGGGTACAAGAATGAGCAAAATAGACATTGTCATAGAACTTAGATGGAGGTGTTCAATGGAAAGTTCTTAAGAAAACAGGCATGCAAATAATCCAGGCCATTCAACCACTAAAACTTGGGCTTTTAACCACAGAAAGAGGCAGTATGGTGATGAAGTTGAGTATAAGTTTCTGGAGCCAGCCTCCTTGGGGAGACTTCATGGCACAGTGGTTGCCTATTAGGCTGCTAACTGCAAGCTCAGCACTTTGAAATCACTACTACTCCATGGGAGAAAGATGTTTACTCTGGTAAACATTTATTTTCCGAAACCCACAGGGGCAGCTATGACTTGTCCTGTAGGGTCGCTATGAGTTGAAATTGACTTGATAGTGGTGAGTTTAATTTTGGAAGAAGCCATTCGGTAGTGCTGTTTGGTAAATGTTGAACTGCTAATCACAAGCTCCGTAGTTCAGACCACTAGCAAAAAGATGAGGCTATCTGCTCCAATAAGATTGTAGATTCAGATAGCCTATATGGAGTCTCTGTGAGTCAGAATCTCATAATGACCAAACACATTAACAGATGTGAAGCGTTTAGAACCATAACTGACACATAGAAAGCCCTCTATAATTTTCATTATTTATAAACTGTTATTGAAAACTGTAACTTAATAAAAACATTAACTCACAGGCTCTGTTCATTAGATAGCTTGGGGGCAGGTAGAGAGAATGCACTTTAATAAAGCTTTTTTTTAGCACGGTGGGCACATAAAAACAATCTAAATCACTTCCGCTTTCAACTACTAAACGCCAATTAATGCTTTATTTTATGTATTTTTTTAGGACATTTCTGATTCATTTGCATCCTTGAAGAGCATCTGTGGAAGAGAAAGGAAAAGATGGGTGTGAAAACATTTACTCATAGCTCCTCTTCCCACAGCCAGGAAATGCTCGGAAAGCTCAATATGCTGCGAAATGATGGACATTTCTGTGATATCACTATACGTGTCCAGGACAAAATCTTCCGGGCACACAAGGTGGTACTAGCAGCTTGCAGTGATTTCTTTCGCACTAAACTTGTGGGCCAAGCAGAGGATGAGAACAAGAATGTGTTGGACTTACATCATGTTACAGTGACTGGCTTTATCCCCCTTTTAGAATATGCTTACACAGCCACTCTGTCAATTAATACAGAAAATATTATTGATGTTCTGGCTGCAGCCAGCTATATGCAAATGTTTAGCGTTGCTAGCACCTGCTCAGAGTTCATGAAATCAAGCATTTTATGGAATACACCCAACAGCCAACCAGAAAAAGGTCTAGATGCTGGGCAAGAAAATAATCCTAACTGCAATTTTACTTCTCGAGATGGAAGCATTTCTCCAGTCTCTTCAGAGTGCAGTGTTGTGGAAAGAACCATTCCTGTTTGCCGAGAATCTCGGAGAAAACGTAAAAGCTACATAGTTATGTCGCCTGAAAGTCCTGTAAAGGGTAGCACGCAGACAAGTTCTCCCCAGGTATTGAACTCTTCAGCTTCCTATTCAGAAAACAGAAACCAAGCTGTTGACTCTTCTTTAGCTTTTCCCTGGACCTTTCCATTTGGAATTGATCGAAGGATTCAACCTGAGAAGGTTAAGCAGGCAGAAAATACTCGAACTTTAGAATTACCTGGCCCATCTGAGACAGATAGAAGAGTGGCTGATTATGTGACATGTGAGAGCACAAAAGCTACCTTGCCTCTAGGTGCTGAAGAAGATGTCCGGGTCAAAGTAGAAAGGTTAAGTGATGAAGAGGTTCATGAGGAAGTGTCTCAACCTGTCAGTGCATCTCAGAGTTCACTGAGTGATCAGCAGACAGTGCCAGGCAGTGAACAAGTCCAAGAAGACCTTCTGATTAGTCCACAGTCTTCCTCTATAGGTATAATTTCTTCTGGTTTTTTTTTGTGATGCTATAAAGTATATTCAGCAAACATTTAAAAATGCCTTTTAGATAAAATTTTTGTGTTGGGACCTATAGGGATTAAAAAGAATAAACATGATAACAGATTTTTTAAAGTGCGATTAGCACTACAGTCATTGTTAAGTTATGCATTATAATACAAATGATCATACCTAACTTATGAGATACGTTGTTAAGCAGTATCTAATGGGGCAAAGGCAAGCTGCATAAAGTTTTTATTACTTGCAGCACAAAAATAACAGTTTTTTTAAAATCTACTTGATCCCTTATTCTTTATCAGAGTATTTCTTGAAAACTTCACTACATGCTTAAGGATATAAGTTGAGGACATAAATTGAAAAACACAATCTCTGCCACTGAACAGTTAGCAACTTGATTCAGGAAACAGATTTGTAAGTAAATGATTGCAGTGAGACATTAGAAGTGCTAGAGGGTGCTTACAAGGTAATGGAGCAAGTTGTTAACTGTAGTTGAGCTGGTCTGACTCAATAAAAGTTTGCCTGTGAACAAATGACATTTCTGTAAAGATTTTTAAAAATAGCACAGAAGTGTGGAGGAACGTTGTTTGTTTGATAAGTAGTGAATTCAGTCTAAAATGGTTTAATACAGCATGGATACCTAAAAAAAGTCAAGGGAAATAAGATTGAAAAAAGACAAAAAAAACTAACCTGAGAGCGAGTTGTGAAGATCTTAGACACTAGTTTCAGTTAAAATTGCACCCAAGAGTATATAACAGAATTCATTCTCTTTTTCCCCAGAATTCATTCTATAATGTCTATAAGCAGACTATCATTTTCATTACTTAAATCACTGGAAATAAGAAATCCAGGTCTGATAACAGTGACTCTATAATATAACCATTATTCCAGTCTTCTTGTACACTTATCTACCATCCTTGGCCTAAGGAGCCCTAGTGAGTTATGCATTGAACTGCTAACCACAAGGTCAGCTAACCTGCAAGTTGAAACCCATTAGCCACCCCTTGGGCAGGGGGTAGGGGAAAGGGGGTTGGAGATGAGGCTGTCTGCTTCTGTAAAGATTTAAATTCTCAGATACCCAAAGGGGCAGTTCTGCTCTGTCCTATAAGGTTGCTGTGAGCATCTGATTTTTTGTTGTCCTTATCAGTTTCATCAGTATGCTCACAGCTCTATAGTTAAGCCTACCATTCTAGAAAGGGATAGCACAAATATTAGGAATGCACAAAGGACCCAGATATCCCTAGAAGACTTACGCTAGATCATGTTACATAGTCCTTTCTTATCCACAAGAGAATCTTCAAGAGAAGAAATATGTATTAGTTGGGAACTAGATACCTTTCCAAGGAACTTAGTACTGTTGACTAGACATTGGGCTGCTAACCACAAGGTTAGTGGTTCAAACCCACCAGCCACGCCTTAATGAGGTTATCCTCATAAAGATTTATGGTCTCGGAAGCCTTACGGAGGGTTGCTGTGAGTCAGTGGCACTGGGTTTATATTCGTTTCCTAAGGGTGCCAGAACAAAGTACCACAAAATGCTGAGAGCGAGTTGTGAAGAGCTTAACCAAAATAGATGCCCTTGAGCAACAGAAACTTTATTTCACATTTTTGGAGCCCACTAGTTTGAATGCAGGTTGTCAACATGGCCATGATCTCTCTCAGAACTAGACTATAGGTTCCCAAAAGTATTTGTCCTGCTGTCCTTTTCCCGAAAAAAAAAAGAAATTTACTATCCCCCTCCTGACAATTAAAGAGTTTAATAAAATAGCTCTTTCCAGAGCCGCTAAATAGAAAGCTTGATTAACAGTCTGGCCTCATGAAATGAAATCCAAAACACTACGGAATCAACATTTTTTTCCATTTGGGAAGTTGATGGAAGGTCCAGACCAAGGTTTGTCATCAATTGACATTGCACCTTTTTTGAAATGAGAAAGCCATTCGTACACTTAAGTTTTCCCATAGCTCCGTCCTTGCAAACTGTGTTCAACATCACAACAGTTTCTGCGGCATTTTTCCCAAGTAAGAAAAAAAATGTCATAGCTGCACACTGTTCTCGTAAATTGGCATCACAGAAAACTAAAAGTTCGAGCAAAACTGCTTTCATGAAAAAATTCACTGTGACCAGAAAGAACTTTCCCAGGCAACACCACTAGGTGCACTAACTCACCTAGCAGGAAAAATGTGTACTACCAAAGCTCTGATCCACCCAGTGCAAATTCAGGTTTTTGGGGGGTACCCCCTCACGTATATTTATGAGTCCATAACAAGTACAGTATCTGCCACAGTGAGGCCAAGTAGACTTGGTTTTTATCCTAGTGGTTTTAAATACCTTAAAGTGAATAAAAAATAGAACTTTTACAGATAAAATATTTTAAGATAATTAGCATGGTATTGATAATGCAGGGAGCTTGACTGGTCAGAAACAAGAGGCTTGGAATAGGTTTACAGTTTAGGTGTCTTAGTATGAATGAAGATAGAGTAAAAGGAAAAATAAAGAGACTACCTGATGATACTGAGTTTGTGGATTGAGGGATAGAAAGACCAAAAGGACCGTGGATCAGTAGGAAGATATAGTGGCTTACTATATTCACTGAATCTTAAGATGATTTTTCTTATTGCCACTGAAATACAAGTATATCTTACCATTATTTTTTCTTTCTTTAAAAAAATAATGTTGCTGTAAAGTTAGCTCTAACTCATGATGACCCATTTGTCTATGTAAATGTGTGTTCCATACAACTTTCAGTGGCTGCTTTTTCATTAGGGAATCTCTGGGCCTTTCTTCTGAGGTACCACTCGGTGAATGAATACATACTTCCAACCTTGAAGTTAACAGCTGAGTACTTCAACTATTTGCATCACCCAGGGGGACTCCCTCTTCTTTATTCGTGATACAAAAAATAATGAAAAAATTATGGGTAGTATTTTATAGCCTATTAACTACAATAACTGCAATATGAACATCAGTAAAAGGAGATAGTAACTCAGTTTTAAGATGTCAAAAAGACTAATTCTATCTAAATTATCCTTGGATTAAGTAATAATGTACCACAAAGTTGAAAGGCAGGAATGGGAAGATTAGAACTAAAAATTAACAATCTGAGCCATGGTTTTGTTTTTTGTTTTGTTTTGTTTGGGTTAAGCAGTAGCAGATTAGCTGTCAATAGGGAAGAATGTATTTATACCAGGAGCTCTGATAGCAGTCAGTTGCTCACCCAGTAGTCAGCGATTCAAACCACCAGCAGTGCTAGGGGAGAAAAGATCTGGCAGTCTGCTCACATAAAGATTGCAAGCCAGGAAACCCTAGCAGACAGTTCGGTTCTTTCCGAAGGGCTGCTATGAGTTGGAATCAACTCAACTCCACAACATACATATACCCAAACCAAAAGACTGATTCTTGAGAAATAGCTGTATTCCGTGTTAGGAAGCGAGAAGAGAAAAACAAACTAAGTAATAGAGATCATTTCTCTAAAAGATGGAAAGATTGGAGAACCAGGAAGGCCATATTACTTTTGTTAAGTTATTGTGTTTTGACCATCAATTAACCACTAAATATCATAGCCCTGAATATGATCCTAGATACTTTTGAAGAACTTAAATGACCATCCAAACCAAACCCACTGCCATAGAGTACATCCCAGTTCACCATGATTTTATAGGGCACCCTTAAGGTTTGCAAGACTGACTCTTTACAGAAATAGATTACCACATCCTTCTTCTGTGGACCACCAACCTTTAGCAAGTAATCAAGCCCCTTATTCAGGGACTGCCATACCTACAAAACTGTCAGGTGCCATCCAGTCAGTTGTGACTCATAGTCACCTTATGAGCAGCAGAATGAAACAGCGCCATCCTCACAATTGTCCTTATGTTGGAGCCGCTGTGTCCGTCCACCTTGTTGAGGGCCTTCTCTTTTTCCCTGCCCCTCCTCTGCCCAGCACTCTGTCCTCCCCCAGGGACTGCTCTCCTGGCAACAAGTCTAAAGTACGTTAGACCCAGTTTTGCCACCCTTCTTTCTAAGGAGCATTCTGGCTGTACTTTTTCCAAAACAGATTTGTTCTTTTCTTTTGGCAGGCCATACCACTTTCAATTTTTTTTACCAGTACAATAGCTTGTACAATAGTAATATTTACTATCCAGACCTTTTACCTAATGCCCACTTCATACACCTCCATATGTACATTTTCTGTTGTCATTAATGCATGTGTCTTAGTTTTGTTAGGGTGCCTTCAAAGAAAAAAAAAGTCAAAGCAATGGCCTAAGAAGGGATCTGGGGCCAATCATTGCAAGGCAGCTTTCAGCTATGAAAGTTAGCATGACTGGCTTTGGGGGAATTCTGGAGAAGTAATCTGTCTCAGAAGACACAGAATGGTGACAGGAGCTTAGTAAGAAGAGGTTTTAAGAACATTGAAAGCTGCATTGATGAGATAAAAGCCAGGAAAGTTACATTACGGAATTTTCCCTCTATCATTACATTGCACTTGTTCATTCTGCAAGTATAGCAAGGGCTGTCCAGCAAGAGTTTTGTTGGAAAACCTTACCTTATCCACGCTGTAGCCTTCATCTTGGCCCACCAGACTTCTCTATTCTCAAAAGTCAGCACATTTCAAAGGGACACGGTTTGAGTTCCTTGAGAATACTAGAATTCTACTGCTGTGTTTTGACATAGTCTAAATTGAAGGACCCAGAATCCTTCAGGGAAGTGGTCAGAGATGGATATGCTGCCTTCACCAGTTATAGACCGAGGTGAAATGTCAAGAAAAAATTGTTTCACATTTTGTTATTTTTAATGAATGCTTCTATGATTTGTAGCAATAATTTGACTTACCCCCATATTTCTTCTTATGATTTATTGACCATTAGTATATCTTTTATTTTATTTTTTATGAGTAGCTACTCAAGTTATTTGCCAGTTTTTAAAGTGGAGTTTGAGTCTTAAGTTTTTCGTTCATAGTTTGTAGGTGTATGGGTAAATCCTAA